CGAGCGTGTGCGGCGCGAAGACGAGAGCCGTCTTTCGACGACTTCGCACGGCGCTGGGGCGGGATCCGCCTCTTGATCAACGGCCACCTTCCGTCCCTGTAGTTGTCGGGAATCTTGAACACGAACATGTGCGGGGCTATAGCGAGAGCCGCATTTCGGAAACCACCGTTTCTCCGTCCTCGTGATTGCAGACGAAAGCACGCGGCGCGAAGGAGGAAGCAACGGGCCTCCATCCTCTGCATAGTTGGAGTATTGCGTGTTAGGGTGGCAACGTGTAGGGACGTCTTAAGCGAAGCGCCCAGCCCGGCCTACGGACTTGTCTGGTGGTGCGCCAGATGAGGGGAGTTATTTTCAGGCAGATGGCCGGAGGAAGCGCCATCGGAGGAAGAGGAGGCGGAGGAGAAGGAGGACGAGGAGAAGGAGGCGGAGCATGAAGTGGAGGCTTCTTCCAGCTCCCCATTGTTTCTTCACTCCTTGTCCCCCGATGCTTCTTCCAGACCCTGCTCATCCTGTTCCTCTCTACTCCTGCTCAATCTCCTCCGTCCTCCCCCTGCTGCCGCTTCTCGTCCTCTTCCCCGCGCCCCTTCCCCCGCCCCCTCCTCTTCCTTCTCCATCCTTTCCATCCTCTCCTCCTCTTCCTCCTCTTCCTCCTCCATCCTCCCGCTCTTCCTTCGGCTACTCCTGCTCTTCGTTTCTCTTCCCTCTCCCTTTCCCCCCCCCCGTCCCCGTTCTTTCTCCCTCCTTCTTCTCTTCTTTCCTTTCTCTTCCGTAGCCATTTTGGCTCAAGCCGTTTTTGGCTCGGGAGTATCGAGCGGCAGAGAGCGAACCAGCATGGCTGTTGGCAAGAACAAGCGCCTTACCAAGGGAGGAAGGAAGGGCGGTAAGAAGAAGGCGGGTGACCCGTTCCTGAAGAAGGAGTGGTACGACATCAAGGCGCCCAGCGTCTTCACCGTCCGCAACTGTGGCAAGACCCTTGTCACGCGTACGCAGGGCACCAAGATTGCCACCGAGGAGCTGAAGGGGCGCGTGCTGGAGCTCAACCTGGCGGACCTGAACAACGACGAGGACCAGGCCTACAAGAAGGTGAAGCTCTGCATCGAGGAGGTGCAGGGTCGCAACTGCCTCACAGACTTCCACGCGCTGGAGCTTACTCGCGACAAGCAGCAGTCCCTGATCCGCAAGTGGCACACGTTGATCGAGGCCCACGTTGACGTGAAAACCACAGACGGCTACCTCGTGCGCCTCTTCTGCCTTGCGTTCACGAAGAAGCAGCCTGGGCAGGAGAAAAACAACTGCTACGCGCAGACGGCCCAGATCCGCAAGATTCGAAAGAAGATGACGGACATCATGACTGGCGAGGTCAACAAAGTGCAGCTCCGGGACTTGGTGAAGAAGCTCATCCCCGAGTCCATCGGCAAGCAGATAGAGAAGGAGTCACAGGGCATATTTCCATTGAAGGACGTCCACATTAAGAAGGTTAAGATCCTCAAGAAGCCCAAGTTCGACATCACCAAGCTCATGGAACTGCACACCGGTGGTGATGACGCGGGCGTCGAGATGCTCCGACCAGAGGAAGACGAGGCGAAGAACCTATTGACCGCCAGCGTGGAGAAGGCCGACGAGGACGACGAGTGATCAGCGCTCCTTACTTCTGCTCCTCCTGCCTTCCTCCTCTACATGCTTCTCCGTAGCCCTGTCAGATCGGCCGCTCATCCTACTCCTGCTCCTCCTTCTCCTCCTTCTCATCCTTCTCCTCCTCCTCCTCCTCCCTCCTCCTCCTCCTCCTCCTCCCGCTCCTCCTCCTCCTCCTCCTCCTGCCCCGCTTCCTCCTCCTCCTCCTCCTCTTCCTCCTCCTCCTCCTCCTCCCACCACGAGACAGCGGCGGCGACGACGACGACTTACTAGTTGAGCCCCGAAACCGAAGTCGCAGGTAGACGCCCGCCTGGCCGTCCCGACGACGACGCTGACGTTGCCGCTGACGACGATGAAGCTGACGCTGACAACGCTGAAGACGCTGACGACGCTGGCGAAGCTGACGACGCTGACGACGACGACAACGACGTCACCGACGACGACAGACGCCGACAGACAGACGACGACAGACGACGACAGGCGAAAGCGACGACAGACGACGACAAACGACGACGACGGACGACGACGACGACGAAGGACGACGACGGACGACGACGACGACGACGACGACGACGGACGACGGACGACGGACGACGGACGACGGACGACGGACGACGGACGACGGACGACGGACGACGACGACGACGAACGACGGACGACGGACGACGGACGACGGACGACGGACGACGGACGACGACGACGACGACGACGACGACGACGACGACGACGACGACGACGACGACGACGACGACGACGACGACGACGACGACGACGACGACGACGACGACGACGACGACGACGACGACGACGACGACGACGACGACGACGACGACGACGACGACGACGACGACGACGACGACGACGACGACGACGACGACGACGACGACGACGACGACGACGACGACGACGACGACGACGACTACGGCCGACGGACAACGGTCGGCGGGCGACGGGCGACGGGCGACGAACGTCGACGACGACGTCAACGACGACGACAGACGACGACAGACAGACGACGACAGACGACGACAGACGACAGCGTCGACAGACGACGACAGACAGACGACGACAGACGACGAAAGACGACAGCGACGACAGACGACGACAGACGACGACGACGGACGACGACGACCACGACGAGGACGACGACCGACGACGACGGACGACGACGACGACGACGACGACGACGACGACCACGACGGACGACGGACGACGACGACGACGAAGACGGACGACGGACGACGGTCGACGGGCGACGGGCGACGGGCGACGACGACGGACGACGGACGACGGACGACGGACGACGGGCGACGGGCGACGGGCGACGGGCGACGGGCCACGGCGGACGACGACGGGCGACGGGCGTCGGACGACGGGCGACTTGCGACGGACGGCGGACGACGGACTGCGACGGCGACGGCGACGGACGGCGGACGACGGACGACGGACGACGGGCGACCGGCGACGGGCGATGAGCGACGGGCCACGGTCGACGGGTGACGGGTGACGGACGACGGACGACGGATGTCGGACGACGGACGACGGACGACGGACGGCGGACGGCGGACGGCGGCGGCGGGGGCGACGACGACGACCACCCCCAGACGAGTCCTGGGGTGAATTGTGACCGGATCATCGATGTGGACCTGGCGGTGGCGACGAGAGCGTCTCCAGAGGCCCAAAGCCGTTCCAGAGACTCGTTCCTCGATCCTCCCTGGAGTTCTCTCGGCGTTGCCTGGAGGTCTCCGCGGAGGTCTCCGCGGAGCTCCCCGAAGGCCCCCAGAGGCCCCCAGAGGCCACATGGAGGCCTAAAGACAGTCCCCAACGCTCAAACACCGCCATGCGTACACTGCCTGCGTGGGGTCGCGCGCAAGCGCCCCTGTCTCCTCGCGGCGTGCCTCGTTGGCGGCCTGCGCATGCCACCGTGCAAGGTCGCCATACCATCGTGCGTGCGACTTTGCCTCCCTCGTCGTCCCGGCGGTCCCCCGCAGGGCCTCCGGAGGCCCCCGTCCCGCGGAGGCCCCGGAGGCCCAGAAAGTGACAGCACGCTCGGGGACGCCGAGTCGGGGCTCGGCGCTGTCGGGGCTCAGCGCCTGCCCCCCGGCCCCCTGGGCTTCGGGAGCCACGGGGAGTCGAGGGCCCACCCTCCCCTGCCTCCTCCTCCTCCTCCTCCTCCTCCCATTCCTCCTCCTCCTCCTCCTCCTCCTCCTCCTCCTCCCATTCCTTCTCCGACTCCTCCTCCTCCCCCTCCTCCACCTCCTCCTTCCCCTCCTCTTCTTCCTGGGTTCGGTCAGGGATCCACCGCGCGGCCGCCCGTCGTCCTGGGCTCGCGACGTGGCCCAGCGCCGACTCGGGTCGGCGCCGTCCCAGGTTGGCGCGGCCCCGCGACTGCCCCAGGCTCGGAGCCTCGATCTTCGACGACGGCGGCGAGGCAGTTGGGCATCCGCTCACGGGCCCCTGGCTGGACGCGGCCGTGCAGCTTTCGCGCCGAAGACCGTCGGCGGCCGCCGAAGGCCACAGCGAGGACCGCCAGAAGCTGCCGAAGACTGCTCAAGGCCGATGGGTAACGATCGGGCGGGCCCAGGATCAGGATATTTCCTTCCACAGTTCCCAATCACGCTCTCAGGGATCTCCGGAAACATCTTCCAGAACCGCAAGATCTCGAAGATTCCCGATCTATCCCGATTCCGATTTGGTCCCGATCTTGGCTCCGTTTCAGAATGCGGGGCCCACCCGTATGCAGCTTCGCCTCCACCTCAGTCCCCGGGGTCGAAAGCTGGGGGAGCTACAGGCATGTGTTGTCGGATGGGGGTCCCCGCTCGCGTGGGAGCACCCCTCGGGCCCGACAATCGGTACCCGTGCCTGCAGCGCGCCCTCAAATCGCGAGGCGCGGGCCAGCCCCCCCACTGGGTGTGGGGGCGTGTGGCCCGTCCAGCGCACCTCCCTGGGCGACTTTTCGCTGATCGACTTGTGGGGAGCGAGCCAGAGAACCCCAGGCAGAGATGCAGGCAGATCGAGGCACATCCAGACACGTCGAGATCCGTCGGGGTGCATCCAGGCAGAGATCCCGGGGCCCTCCGGGGAAGAGAGTCGGGGCAGCTCGCGGCCGCTCCAGCGCGAGCCCAAGGACGGCAGAAGTCGTTACTCCAGATTTCGTAATAAAGGGAGGGGGGTCTCATTTCGGGGGGGGTCTCTTCCAGGCTATCTTGGAGGGCCTGGGGGGGTCTGGGGACGATGTTTTGGAGGGTTCTCCCACGGGGGGGGGGTCTAAAACTTCTCGTCCGGGAGGGTTGAGACCCCCTCCCTTTTCTTACGAAATCCGGGGTACGCCTCTCACGATCGCCCGTGGGTCGAGCACGCCGAGCCAGGTGGACGTGATGCAGCTCGCCCACCTCGCCGCCGCCGCCTCGAGCTCGGCGCCGCGCCGCCCCCGCCCCGCCCCGGGGGGCCTGCCACCGCCCGCCCGCCGCCGCCGCCGTGGTCGTCGTCGAAGTCCTCCGTCGTCCGCCGTCCGTCGTCGCCGTCGCCGTCGCCGTCGCCGTCGCCGTGGCCGTGGTCCGTCGTCCGTCGCCCGTCGTCCGTCGCCCGTCGTCCGTCGTCCGTCGTCCGTTGTTCGTCGTCCGTCGTCCGTCGCCCGTCACCCGTCGTCCGTCGTCCGTCGTCCGTCGGCCGTTTTCCGTCGTCGTCGTCCGTGGTGAGTCGCCCCTGGGGGGTCAGACAGAGCGTGTTCAGGATGGACGAAATGGAGCAGTCAAGTGCGCAAGACAGGCCCCACAATTCAGTGATTTTCCTGTGCAGAGGATGTCGTTTCGAAATTGTCCTGAGACTCCCCGCATTGTCTAGTCCTCATCTTCTGTAGGCCTCTTTTCCAAGCTTCTGTGGCCCTTTCGCCTGAGTGACTTTTGCTATCGTAGTCACGGGGTCAGTGGTATCATCATCCATAACCATCGCTACAATTGCCGACGCCCTATCGGTCAGCCTGGCACCTACCAGCTGGCCGCCTGGTCAAGTTTCCGTCTGTCCGTATCAGACCTGCCACCGAGAAGTCCAGTCTTCGGGCACCATCCTGGTCCGTCTTCGAGCCGCCGCCTCGGAGGAGGAGGGGGGAGGATTCGACCCGCTTGCCCAGGCGTCGTCCACGGCCTACGCGGTGGATGCCGTCGTCACGGCGCGCCCCGCGGCGCGGGAGGAAACAAGGGGGGCGGTCTGCGGATGCGGGCCCAGACCTCCGACGCCGCTGGCTGTGTTCTGATCGCCGTTTTCGGCGCCCGGGGGCTGTTAGCGGGCCCCGTGGCCGTTCGGGAAGACGATTCAGGGCGAGAAGCCCGTCCTGGGGACATCGGTGAGGGGTCGAGGGCTCCGGGGGTGGGCCGCTCGACAGGAATGGAGCGTCGTTTGGGAGGTCCGCGGAGGGTGGGGGTGACACGTTCGGAGAGTCTGATGGGAGGGGAGGGCTGGGGAGGAGTGGGGCAGCAGGCTTTTTAGAGTCACGCGGGCTTTGAGTAGAGCTGGCACGATATAGAGCAGCCCCAGCTTTTGAGGGGCACTCGTGTGTTCTTCGCGTTGGAGCTCTTCACCGTGGCGTGCCTTCCGTTCTGGGCCTCCGACGCGTCTAGGGCCTTCGGTGGAGAGGCTCGTGCTCTTACTCCACGCTCTTGTGGCCACGTCTCGATTGCAATGGGTCTCGAGTCTCGACGTTGCAGCTCTTAAGGGCGTTTTTTTAACGTCGCGGCGCGGCATAGGCAATCCGCTCGCGCGTCGGAACGAGACTGGGACATGGAGTCGCGAATTGGCCCGCATGCTGAAGGGGGGGAGGAGACGAGGAGGCCGCGTTACCATGAAGAGGTCGCGGGATGGTCGCGGCACGTGGTCGCCAGTGTGGTTGCCAGATGCTCGCCGTCTGGTGCCCCCGAAGAGCGGCGGGCCAGTGTCTTTTGATGATTGCATCGCTTTGCTCATTTCTCGGGCCCTCATGGTTTCACTAATCCAGGGCGGTTATGCTGGGAAGTGCCATGTGTGATTTGAAGTGCACGCGGAATCGCACCTTAGTACTCCATGGCGGCGAGCTTGCAGGATGTACCAGTCCATCATGCGTCGATGGTGACTACTTGCAAGTACACATCGCAAATGCGCCGTCCGAGGTGATAGGCAGATCTTCGCAGCCTGGTGTCTCTGCAATGGTGGCCTACGGATCAAACTCCAGAGAGTGATATCTAGTGTCTGCTCTCTAGTGGCCTGATGTGCAAGCGGGGTCGGCGGGGGCTCCGCGTCCCGCTCTGGGCTCACCGTCGGCCCTGGCTTCCGACTTCTCTTCATCGTTGGAGTTGGACGTGTCACTTGCGTTGGCTTTGTCCCGTCGGCGCCAACGCCATCGCGTGATTGCCTCTGGGACACATGCCTCGGCAATGTCGTATGATGCCAGCGCCTCTGCCCTGGTCGAACATTTCCATCGTCATCACCCGTTTCAGCACACCCCTCACACGCTTCGTGGCCCCATAGTGAGCTCCGCCGAAGGTCCCAGTGCTACCGCCCACATGCGTCCCCCCCACCCAGTACAGCGCTTCGTGGCCCCATAGGGAGCTCCACCGACGGCCCCAGCGCTACCGCCCGCATGCATTCCCCCCCACCCAGTACAGCGCTTCGTGGCCCCATTGGGAGCTCCACCGACGGCCCCAGTGCTGACGCCCGCATGCGTCCCCCCAGTACAGCGTTTCGTGGCCCCAGAGGGAGCTCCACCGACGGCCCCAGTGCTACCGTAAAGAACCCTATAGGGATCTATCTCTATAGGGTCTCTACAGGGGTCCTAAAGAACCTTATATGGATCTCCATCGGGTCTATAGGGATCCTAAAGAACCTTCCACTACAGGGATCCTAAAGGGACCCTATAGGGATCGCGTAGGCCCTGTAGGGCTTCTGTAAGGACCCTATAGGGATCCTCTAGGGCCTGCAGGGTTTCCACCGGGTTTTTATAGAAGTCCTGTAGGCCCTGCAGGGCTTCCATAGGGGTCCTATAGGGGTCCTATAGGTCCTGGAGGGTCTCCATAGCGGCCTCATAGGGATCCTATAGGCCCTGCGGGGTCTCCATAGGGATCCTATAGGGACCCCGTTCCGGAGCCTCGCCAGAGCAAATATCAGCATCCGCTTGGAGTTTCGTTGGGAGAATGTAAGTTACAGAGCATTTTTTTGTTTGGTTTCGTTGGGTTGCTCGGTTGCTGGGTTGCTTGGGGGAGGGGAGGGTTGCTAGCCACGCGTCCTTGTGACCCACCTTCAGTATTAGTGGACGAGGCGGTTACAGCGAGCGCACGGGACGCGTCACTCAGAACCGCCTTGACCTTGTTGTTGTTGTTGTTGTTGTTGTTGTTGTTGTTGTTGTTGTTGTTGGTGGTGTTGTTGTTGTTGTTGTTGTTGTTGTTGTTGGATTCACACTACTGAATTATAACTGTTGTCGATCCCCCCCTCCAGTGACCATTCCAATTTTTCAATTGAAGTGCTTCCCCCGGGGCTCGCACCCTGTTTTATATCAGGGGAGGTCAATCGGGTCAAATTGGGCTCCTGGCCCCCAGTTTACAACAACAGCGGCTCCCGCCTGACACTTCCTCACAATTTATTCCCAAATCGCGCTCTCGCGCAGGACTTCCTCGCAATTTGTATACGAATCGCGCTCTCGCGTGGGTCTTCTTCGCACTTTATTCAGACAGTGAGCCCTCGGCGCTCAGGAACCACGCTCTCGCTAGGGCTTTTCTCACGATTTACTTGAGAATCGCGCTATCGCTTGAGACGTCCTCGCGTTTCATGCAGGACGCACGCTTCAGCAATCCGCCTGCTCGACCTGGTCGCCTGGGCCCGCCTTCCTGACCTGCCCGCTATGGGTATGCCCACCCGATCTGCCCGTCTGGTTCTACCAGTTGTTTTCTGCTCCTTGCTCCCCTCCTGCTAATTTATCTCGTGCTCCATTTTCCTTCCTCCCCCTTCCACCTGTTTTCTTTCCTTTGCTTTAAGGGCTGCACTAAATGCACTTGGCAGGTAAGGAAGATATACACCTAAGGGGGTATGATCGAAGACGGCGAGGGCGGGTACCGAGGGTTTGGGATATACGTATTGATTGGCACGTGAACACAGGAGCGAGCAGTCATAGCATGCTTGTTGCTGTTGCTGTTGCTGTTGCTGTTGTTGTTGTTGTTGTTGTTGTTGTTGTTGTTGTTGTTGTTGTTGTTGTTGTTGTTGTTGTTACTGCTGTTGATGTTGTTGATGAGGTTGTTGTTGTTGCTTATGTTTTTTTGTATGTATTTGTTATGTTTGTTGCTGATGAGGAGGATGAGGAGGACGATGATGATGATGGTGCTGATGATGGTGGTGATGATGCTGGTGATGATTATTATGCTGATGAGGAGGATGAGGAGGAGGGGTCGACGAGGAGGAGGAGGAGGAGGACGAGGAGGTGTTCAGGATGAGGAGCGTGTGGGAGAGGAGGAGGACGAGGAGGAGTAATGGCCCCCGCAACGGCGAATGGCGGCGGCGGCGGCTAGCGCCGCCGAGGAGGCCGTGCTCTTCTTCGCCATCATGCGGTCCCACGTCCCAGCCGCCGCCCTTGGTCAGGCCATTATGCCGGACACAAGCGAAGAGCGCCCTCCTCGCCGTCGTCGCCGTCGCCGTCTCTGTCGCCGTCGCTGTTTTTGTCGCTGTCGCTGTCGCTGTCGCCGCCGCCGTCGCCGCCGCCGCCGCCGCCTCCGTCGCCGTTTCTGTCGCTGTCGCTGTGGCCGTCGCCGTCGCCGCCGTCGCTGTCGTCGCCGCCGCCGGTGCCGTCGTCGTCTTCGTCGCCGCCGCCGCCGCCGTCGTCTTCGTCGTCGTCGTCGTCGTCGTCGTCTTTGACGCCGTCGTCCTCGTCATCATCATCATCATCATCATCATCATCATCATCATCATCGTCGTCGTCATCGTCATCGTCGTCGAGGAGCATCGAAATCGAGCATCGAGGATCGTAGTTTCGGATTTCTGTGGGTCCCCGCATGCTTTCCGTCGCTCTCTTCCGCCTCCGCCTCCGCCTCCGCCTCCACCTCGTCGTCATCGTCGTCGTCGTCGTCGTCCTCTTCCTGCTCCTCCTCCGTCGCCAGTTGGCTCTGGGGTACGGAAGGTGATCACCGACAGTGCCCGTGTGACGCCCGCTTTGCCTTTTCATCCGTTTGCAGATAAGTATTTCTTTATCACATCCACTTTTACATCTCATTTCATAGTTGGAAGTGGGGCTTCGGCTCTGTGACCAGTGCCTCCCGCCGCCATGGTCCGCGTGGCGTCGAAGGCCGCGGCGCCAACCGCCTTTACGTCCAGATCGTTTTCGACGCGGTGGGTTGTTTGCGCGGCGCTTGTCCCCATCTTCGGGACTGGGGACTCGGTTGATCACAATCCCTGCGAGGGCGGCAACTACACGAACCTCATGTTTGACTTCGACCTCGACAAGGACATTGGTTTCGACAACGATTTCGGCTTCTACAAACACCCTCTCTGATAACTGCGACCTTCAAGAACTACATGGATGGCGGCACGCCGCCAATGCTTACCTCTCACCTGAGGCGTACTTGGACTATGTTCGAGTTGTTCTCGGGCCCAGTGGTTCTGTCCCATTCAGCCTGGGAAATGCACACAGAAAAGAGGGGACCATCTGCATATAATGAAGAAGTGTTTGACAATGCATAACTATATTGCGCTCGCCTTGGGAAGTGCAAGCGGATGAGAGTTTTGATGCGAATTGGGGAGTAAACTGGGTGTTGGGCGACTAGGTTGTCAGCTGTCTAGGGGACAGCGAGTCAGACCTGGGATATATGTTCTCGATCCTTTTGACCGTAACATACTGCAAAACCCGCTGTTTCCTTTCAGTCTGGCAGGGCGAGATACCGATGCGCGCTCCGATTGACGATCGTGCAGTTAGTGGAACTTATGACGCACGAAGGGCGTCCGCACAGTTATGTTGTGGGATGTCCCGAGTGCGGCGAACGTCGCGACGCGACGGAAGAGTACACTCAATGCGTTGACGAGGATGAACACGTTCGGTGCAGGGTTCCACGACGGCTCCGAAGCTTCAAGGTTAGAGCAACGCCGTCGCTGGGCACCTGACCCCCGTCACGTCCTGAACCATATGAGGGACCTCCACTTCGGATGGGCAGGCCATCGGAGTGGGCATGCTTGCCTTTGCCAGTTGCCAAACGTGCGTGGACGCAGTCGGCTGCAACGGTATCATGCGACGCCTTCGCGCCTGGGGGCTCGAGCAGCAGTCCTGGGTTCCCTCCTAACGATGGGTGCGGGAGGTAATCGTCAGGTCAGTGCCGAATTCGGACCTCGACGAATTCCGCCGGGCGGCCTACGTCTCGTCTCGCCACGCTGGCGCGGCCCGCGAGCGCGTGGACGACTGACCGCCGGCCGTTCTGATCTAGGGAGGCCGCGCCAACGGCCGCCCGGCGCCGCCGGTGATTTTGCCGGGGCGCAATCTGGCCGAACGTTGATGCCGCTGGACGAGGTGGCGCGCGCCTTGGCAGTGTCGGCTCTGGTGATCCCCAACCGATTGCCGCAGGGGCGCATCGGCGACCTCTTCGCGCGCTTGGACATCCCCCGCAGACGGCCGCGGGCCTCCGCAGCCTCCTGCGCGCGGACGGGGTGTTCATCGCGCGACTCTTGCAGCGGCGTAGCGTGGCTTGCCCGACAAGCGCAGCGCAGTTCGCGCCCGTGACGGGCCAGCTGCGACGCTTTGGGCGCGTGATCGAGTGATCGCTCGGCAATGTCGCCTCAGAGGTCTACTCGGTCCAGCGGCGGACATTTCTCACGTGTGTGCCCTCGCAAGACCAGGTTTAGAGTGTGTCTGTGTTCTATGTTTCTGCAGTCGGATCGAGCTGGGGCGGCCGGGGCCCACCTGCTCCGGGGGCGGCGCCCAGCTCGCGCGCGCCAGCTTTGCCGGCGCAGGAGTCGTTCCATGCAGCGGGCATCGACTCTGCAGCGCCGAGGCTGACGCCGTCGGCTCAATCCTTGGGGACGGCGTGGCAACGGCCTCGCCCGCGTGGCGTTGCACCGTGCGTCGTCGTCTGCGGGAGGCAGCCGTCTATGCTGCCACCGTTGGAAGCGGGCGAATCAGGTGGGGCGTCCGGCGATTACGTTGCCGGTGCCGGCCGCTCTGCTGGTGGGGGAGAGCAGCCTGGCCCCTCGCAATGGTCTATCCACGGGGTCGCCCTGCGGCGCGTGATCGAGGCCGCGTCTATCTCCCGCGTCAGCCGCGCCCTCCAGGCATGCGCCGCGGAGTCCGGAGAGGGTCGCTTCGACGTCGGCGACCAGGTGGAACCCCGCGGGCCTCCGAGCGCGAATGGCACATCTGGCTGGGAGGGTCCTGGGGCCGTCGCGTTTGTCGAGCAGGCTCGAGGCGAGGTTGCGGCGGTCGAGTGCCGCCGAGCCGACGTGGTCTGCAGGCTGCAGGACGTGGGGCCTTTCATCCGTGCCGTCTTCGACGACGTGGGCGCTGGTTTGGCGAGCGCCATCCTTGCCTGCGACCGAATGGAGGATTTCGCGGGCACATCGCGCCGGGCTCTGGCACCAGGACCTTCGGCCACTGGGGGGGCGCAATTGGCGTGCAGATCGCCGCGCAGACGCGACAATGCCTGGACATGTTCGACGCTCTACACCATGTATCCCGCGGATGTTTTCAGCTGGCAGACGCGCGTGCCGCGCGTCTCCTGCGCGGCCAGAAATCTGTGGGCGACTAGCTGGGCCGCGCCTGGAGCCAAGTCATCTGGCGGGCCCCATCGGAGTTCAGTCGATCTTCAGCAGATTCTCGACGGTGTCATGCTCGTCATCCGCGCGCTCGTCGGTGAGCGCTTGAAGGTTGCGAGGTCGTTCGCGTCGTCCTGGTCATCTTGGGCGACGAGGCGCTTGTGGCAGAAGACGCAGGGCGCGGTCCAGATAGGGCATTCGACGACGGTGTCGTCGACGCCCCCGAGGGCGCTGCTGGCGCCGCTGAGGGGGGGTCCCCAGTGGCGTTGTCGGCCATGCCAGAGGAGACCGGCAGCGACCTCTTTGCCGACGTCCAGCAGGTTTTGTTGGCAGCTTGGCGTGAAGCTTAACGGGCGGAAGACTTGCCCCAGGAGCTGAAGGGGCTGGAGCGACGACGGCCGGCGTCTGATTTGCGCTGGTGTCGGGCAGGCTGCGGCCAGTCTTGGCCGCTGGCCGCGCGAGCGCCCCTGGCGCCTCGAGGCGCGGCGCCAGCGTCGGGGCGTCCACGCGCAGTGCAACTACTACCTGCGCGGCACCGCCCTGGGCGGCAACGCCGCTGGAGGAGGAGGGCGACCGAGGGGGGCGCGTGGAGTTGTGCCTCGGGCTGGGGGCGCGCGAAGCATTCCCGAGCATCGGCGAGGAAGCGCTCTGCAATTAGGTCTCTGGCGATTCCTGCGCAGCCGTGCTCAATGGGCGCGCCGCCGTGAAGACCGCGGTCGTCAATCGCGACGCCGATCTCTTGGCCGAGGAGAGTGTCTAGGATGTCCGGGAAGGCGGGGGCTGCCGCCCTCGAGGAGCTCACCCTCTGGGTGAAGTTTTTTTTTTTTTTTTGGGGGGGGGGGGCGCGGCGTCCGCTCAACGGCGCCCGAAATGTCGCGGGCCCCATGCGCGTCTTCGATTCGATGCGTCGGGAAGGCCCCGGCGGCGAGACATGTCGGATCACCCGTTGCCGCGAGGCATTCATTGGCTTCCGCGATGTGGGCGCCGGCGCCCAAGAGAACTTCACGGTGGCAGCGAGGCGCGCCTCGCGGCGCGCGTTTCCCCGGAGGCGGCGCGTCGCCAGGGCCGGAACTGCGTCGCCGCGGGCGTCGAAAAGGCTTCCTTGCAGGGCCTGGTCTATACCGAGATGCAGGAGCAAGGTGGATCGCCGCGCGAGGTGAACTTCGCTCTGCCGCCCGGCATCGCAGCCATCTTCAGGCAGGTGCCCCCGCGCGAGTTTTTTCGACGAGGGGGCCGAGTGCCTGCGCTGCATCGAGCTGGGCGCGGGTTGCGAGGGCGCGCCCCGGGCCTTCTCGGTGAAGATCGCCTGGGTTGCGCACTCGCCAAAGTGCAGTGCCAAACCCGCCGTCTGGGGCCCAGAGCTCGAGGTCGAGGCGTCTGGCGAATGCGCCGGCGACGCAAGGTTTGTGCTCGTGTCGTCCAAGCGCGTTGACGATCTGAAGATTGCGGGTTAAAAGAAGCACGTCGGCCACATCGAGGGCGCCTTCGGCAAGATGATGGGCGACCGCGACGATTCCGCCATCTGCGGGCTTTCTCGGCGCCGCAACGCCGACTGCGCTGTGCCGCTCGACCAGGGCGATCACATCGACGCCCTGCTACCGATCGGTTATGTCGACGAGGGCAAGGGGAAGGCCGACGAGCCTGCAGGAGGTCAACTCCTGGACCTCTTCGCCTCCTTGCTGGGATCAGCGGTTGACGCCGTGCTCGCCCAGCGCGACGTCGCAGCGTGCATCGTGGCACTTCAGAGGGCCGAGAAAAGGCTGCTCATTCGTCACGCTGTGCATCGCAATTCTGCGGTTCTCGCCGCGCATGCGCCGGCCAGATCTGCGCGCGCAGCGACGGGTCCTTCAAGTGGGAGGAGGAGACGGGGTCTGGCATGCGTGGTGCCGCCTGCGCGCCCTGTGGCAAGTGCCGCAGCGCTGGGAAGTCTGCCTGGTGCTCGACGCCTTGAGCATCAATATTGTGTGCAGATCTTCGTTCGGCTCCGAGCGGCTTGCCGCGTGCGCTGCACCTGATGGGTTGCGTGCCTACTTCTTGGCGCTCCGCGAAATGATCCGCGGCCCAGCCTCAGCCAGAGAGATCAGGAAGCTGAGCGAGGAGGGAGGCTGCGCAGTTCCAGCAACCCTGGACGTGGCCAGGGCGTCCGTTTTCGCGGCCTTGGACATGGATCCGATTCAACCGCCTCCAGAGAAGAACATGGCAGGCCACCGACGGTGGCTATCGGAACAATTCCGCTTTCGGACCAACTCTACTTTGGTGCGACTCGCGGGGACATGGGGGCCGATCCCATGGCGGTGCCAGGGATCCATCCTGGGCGTTGCGAACGGGAAGTCCCGCTACGACCTCGACGCCGTCAAGCTGAGCGACGAGAGGCACAAGAAGGCTGTGCCCAGTTCCCACCGCAACAACCTCACCCAGGGGCAGGGCGCTTTTGAGACACGAGCGCGCTAATCATGTACGCGCGTTTCCATTAGCAGTCTGCTGTTTTGGCGCTCGTTTAACTTTTCACAGGGAGCGTGGCCAGTATACCTTTCCCTGTCGTAGTCGATTGGTGTCTCCATTGTTCTTGCCCGGCTTGCGGGTGTGAGCCGACGAGGCACATGCAGATTCGCGTGGGCACCCGATTCGGAGTGTATTGTAGCATCCCTTGCCAGGGGCGGGAGCAGGTTGGGGATCCAAAGCGGCCAATCCCCGGTTTGCCCCCCCTGCTCCGCCTCTCTGCAGTGCCAAATTGTTTCCTTTTCCTGCGCGGAAGGT